AGTATTTGATCTTCATTCATTGAAAACAATCTTTGTAGATGTATTACATATGTCTTACCAGAAAACAGAAAAAGATGAGGAACTTTCAAAAGAGTATATCAACACAAATTATCTTGTCATATGTCCAGTGCTAGCAATTTTGAGTCTTTGTTGTTGAGATGTCTATTGTTTTGTTTATGACCTCAAGCTGGACTAATTAAGTGGGAGTAGGTCCAACAGTCTATTGTCAGAGCCCTTTTCAAAACAGACAAAAAAGATTTTTCATACACTCTGGATGCAGGCCACATTAACTTGGACCAACTACTGTAATGAAATTGTCCATACATTTCAAATAGTTTTATGTTAACAATTTCTTTACAGTAAGTTAGTCAAAGGTAATATAGCTTGCATCTAGTAATCAACAGCATATCAAGACATGAGCACAAGATAGAATATCAGTGAAACAGAAACAAATCACTATAGAAGGTGAATTAAGTACTAGTTCCTGTAAAGTCATCATCAAAATCTTTCTCTTTATGAAACAAGTGTGACATTTTGGATCTAAATTTTAAAACTCTCTTTGCAAGTTTGGAAAGAGAATGGACTGAGGATAAAGACATCAAAGGGGGTTCAAACAACAATTACCAAAAAACATACCTTGTTTCTCAGGATTATCCAGAAGCACTGCTTGAACTGGATGATTCAAAACAACCTGCATTGAATGCAAGTTTTGTTCACCATGACTTATGGTGCCTGCCTCAACAACTGGAACCCCCTGTGCTTCTTGGACATTGGCTGTGGTAGGAATTGTATGAGATTCTGCTGCAGGAACTCTGTTCTTTAATTTATGAGCTTGCATCTCCAGCTTCTCTGCCTCTGTGTATTTTCCCAAGTATCGATATGTTGCTGCTAGATTTGCAATAGCATTGATTGTATCTGGGTGTTCCACTCCAAGAATTCTGTTCCTTGCATCCAGAACTTGCATCTCCAGCTTCTCTGCCTCTGTGTATTTTCCCAAGTTGTAATATGTTACTGCTAGATCTGACATTGCTCTGATTGTATCTGGGTGTTCCACTCCAAGAATTCTGTTCCTTGCATCCAGAACTTGCATCTGCAGTTTCTCTGCCTCTGTGTATTTTCCCAGACCATAATATGTTGCTGCAAGATGTGCCATGGCATAGATTGTATCTGGGTGTTCCACTCTAAGAATTCTGTTTCTTGCATCCAGAACTTGCATCTCCAGCTTCTCTGCCTCTGTGTATTTTCCCAAGTATCGATATGTTACTGCTAGATTTGCAATGGCATTGATTGTATCTGGGTGTTCCACTCCAAGAATTCTGTTCCTTGCATCCAGAACTTGCATCTCCAGCTTCTCTGCCTCTGTGTATTTTCCCAGAGAATAATATGTTGCTGCTAGATTTGACATTGCTCCGATTGTATCTGGGTGTTCCACTCCAAGAATTCTGTTCCTTTCACCCAGAACTTGCATCTGCAGTTTCTCTGCCTCTGTGTATTTTCCCAAGTGTTGATATGTTGCTGCTAGATTTGCAATGGCATTGATTGTATCTGGGTGTTCCACTCCAAGAATTCTGTTCCTTGCATCCAGAACTTGCATCTGCAGTTTCTCTGCCTCTGTGTATTTTCCCAAACAATAATATGTTGCTGCAAGATGTGCCATGGCATAGATTGTATCTGGGTGTTCCACTCCAAGAATTCTGTTCCTTGCATCCAGAACTTGCATCTGCAGTTTCTCTGCCTCTGTGTATTTTCCCAAGTGTCGATATGTTGCTGCTAGATTTGCCATGGCATTGATTGTATCTGGGTGTTCCACTCCAAGAATTCTGTTCCTTGGATCCAGAACTTGCATCTGCAGTTTCTCTGCCTCTGTGTATTTTCCCAGACAACAATATGTTGCTGCTAGATTTCCCATTGCTCTGATTGTTTGTGGGTGTTCCACTCCAAGAATTCTGTTTCTTGCATCCAGAACTTGCATCTCCAGCTTCTCTGCCTCTTTGTATTTTCCCAGCAGATAATATGTTTCTGCTAAACCTCCCATGGCATTGATTGTGTCTGGGTGTTCCACTCCCAGAATTCTGTTTCTTGCATCCAGAACTTCAATCTCCAGCTTCTCTGCCTCTGTATATTTTCCCAGGTCTCGATTTGTTGATGCAATATGTGCCATAGCACTGATTATATTTGGGTGTTCTACCCCAAGAATTTCATTCCTTGTATCCAGAACTTTAATCTGCAAGATTTCTGCTTCCTTTGTGTATCCTTGTTGTTGCAGCAGCTCTCCAAATTTGGCATAAGCATCATCTAAGTAACTGATACCCTTCTGATTACTTTCTGATCTGGAATACTCCATATTTGCTCTTACATGTGTTACCAAGGCCCTGTGAAATCTATATGGTTGGCTTTCCTCCCATCTTAGAGAACAAGATAAAGTAACATATGCCATAAAGCAACATCTTCCCCTCTCATCCAAAGTCATTCTGTCTCTTCCCCAGGCATGGACAAGTGGATGCATTGCATACACACCATCAGATGGTGCTTTCTTAATCAA